TTCTGGCCTCACAGAAAGAAGGTCCTGGGTTCAAACCCCGGTCGTCCTGGCCTTTCTGTGTGGAGTTTGCATCTTCTCCCCGTGTCTGCGTGGGTTTCCTCCGGGTGCTCCGGTTTCCCCCTCCATCAAAAACATGTTAGATAGGTTCTCCAGTCAGTGCCGTTTGACCAGACACTGCTTTCAATCTGGAGTTGGTCCACAGGCGCTGTACAGTAGCTGCCCACTGCTCCCTTCAGGGATGGGTTAAATGCAGAGGATGAATGTCGCAACACGTATGTGTATGTGACAAATTAAAATCCAGATATTTCCTTTATTGGTAGAGACCAAAAATAGAGCTAAAAGAGAACATCGGACTCATCAGGTGACCATAAACACAACTCCAGATAAATGATAATGTTGCTACATAACTGATAGAGTAAATAAGAAACTTCCTACCAACAAGTTCCCTTTATCAGCTTAAAAGGTAATGCATGCGCAGTATACTGTAGTTTTTAAAATCTGGTGTCTGTGGTGACGTTCCCACACTGGTGCATCAATAATGATGCATTTAACGTTAGCCAGTAATTATTTGTTTGCCAGAGGCAAACCAGAGCCAAGTAGAGAGCTCTGTGAACCGCCATTGCTGTAAATTAAAATGGTCCATTGGTACAAGGTAGATTTATTTAGCATTTTACAACACAGGATTGTATTACAAGATTAATTTGTAGTTTCCCTAAACTGTTTTTAGTGTTAATATGCTTTGGCAACATCATAGTGTATGCAGTCATGCCAATAAAGCCACTTGAATTGAAACTGAATGTAGATTCAGGACAGGGGAGTTGGTGGTGGGCGTGCCCTCCAGTAAATTAGACTACATTCAGTGTAAAAGAGCATGCAGGTTACTTTGTGGCAATACGAAATGGTTGACACAGTGTCCACAATACACTACAGTCTTTGTTGTAGCCAGTGGACAGATGAACAGTGCCCATCTGTGTATAGGTTGGCTGTATTGGTCGATTATGCAGCCGCTTATTACAACCCATATTTATGTCTATTGTTAGAGCGCAACCTCAAGGCCGTATGACGACCACGTGACTTACTTAAAGTACTTAGGGTCCGATACGCCTGTCCCTGGAATGGTACATACCAATGGTCATATATGTCATTCTGGGGGTCATTGACAATTTACCTACATTGTAATTTAGATACGATGACATGATGCATACATCCTAAGTATGCGTCAACAGTTTTTGTGTAGTCACTACCAGAAGGGTAGATAAAAGTTCCGCACTGGAGGTTTAACCTTTAGCTGTTTGCTATAGTTAAGTTGAAGGTACTGATGCTTTATACAGTTTTGTTATTTGAGCAGTTAACTAGAACCATCTTCTCTTTTCACTTTCTATACTTTCTATAGTTTCTAGTTGAGTCTTGAAATGGTTTTGTACACTGGTTCAGAAGATATTGTTTACTTTGTGGCACTAAATAATTCATGCCTTAATTAAAAAAAGAAAAAAAGAGTAAAGTAAAAGTGCACAGAGACATAAATATAAATAGATAGACAGTGGCTGTTGCTGATTTTTTTGGGTGAGGACTGAAATTGGAAATTATGCAAAAAGAGAAAAAGGGGGAGGAGAAGGAAAGAGGAGTCAGGGGAGAGAAGTGGAAAAGGATAGTTATGAGTATGTTTGCTCTATGAAATGCTCCAAAGCAATCAACTGAAGCAAATTAATGCCTCTTACTCTGGAGAGCGAGAGAGAGCATATAATGATAAAACAGAGAGACAAAATAGAAGAGAGGGTGGAAATGAGAAAAATGAAAGAAATAAGGGATAGAAGAAGAAGAGGAATATCCCTTGTTTTCTATCTGATAAGGATGGCGTGGCTGACACAGATGTTCAAATTGCCTATCAATCACTCTGGATAGTGTTTCTCCTGTTCACATCCTATTCAGCTTCTGCTAAGATCCTTTCCTCTCTTCACCCCCACCCCCTTTGTTTCTCTTCCTCTTTGTGTCCCTTCTTTTCTTTGTCCTTTGTTTTGATTGACTCTGTTTTCTTCCTCTTCACCTTTGTATCCCTTCTATCCTCGTCTTCCTTTCTTTTTTTTTTCACTCTTCCAACCCATGGGGTGTGTGTCCGCACACAGCATGCTTGTGTGTCTGTGTGTCTGTGTGTGTGTGTGAAGGCAGAGACGGATTGGTCTGTATTTAGGGAAGCACAATATCAATAAATAGGAAAAGGGAAAACGCTCTCATGCCTGTCCTGTCTCCCTTTCAGACACACACACACTCGTTGCCTTCCCGAGGCGCTGGGTGGTTGGTGGAGGGTGGTGGGGTCGTTAGAAAACGCAGTGTGTTGCGTTCCACTGTGTAGCGCCACAGGTTGCTAAACAAGGGGTTGAAAAATGGGCCGCTCCTGTGAGCAGGCGAGGATTGATCACCCGAAAACCTCTTATATCTCCTCTTCTGCTCTTGATCATCCTCTTTCTCTTGTGTTTTCATTCTTCTCCTCTCCCTGTCTTTCTTTTTCTGCCTCATTGTCTGAATTCTCGTTTTTATATTCTTCACCTTCTCTGTCATTTTACTTTATTTTTCTTATCTCTCTGTTCTCGCTTCCTCTATTTAACTTCCTCCTTTCTTTTGCCACCTATTCTCTCTGGCCTCTCAGCTGCTTTCTCTCTCTCTCAATTTAATGTGTCTTCTTTGAATCACCTTTACGCTCTTTTCCCTACCTCTTCCATACCTCCTCCCTTCTCCTCTTTTCCTCCCCAGCATCCTCTCCTCCATTCTCTCATGTCTTCTCTTTTCTCTTTACCCGGTTCTGACAGCAATAGAGGCTGTCCAATAAAACAGGCATAAAAACGCAATCCCTGTCTGCGCTCAATTTACACGCAACGCACGCACGCACGCACGCACGCACGCACGCACACAGCGGCAACATAAATCAGACATAAAAAGCCAATCCCTGTCTGCAGTCAATTTCCATAAAGATACAGGAAGGGATGGGACTGAATGTATGTAATGTGTAATGTAAAATGTGTGTATATTGTGTCTACTTATATTGTACATATATAATGTATATGTATGTAGTATCTTTATGCATATTTTTCTTGTGAGATTATATGTGTTTATAATCTCCCAGGTGGTGTCGACACAGTGTGAATGCAAGTGGCTGTCGCTATGCTAATGATCAGTGTTTACATCACACATCACACCATGGGCTTCGTCACATTATCCCCATAGGACACATGTGCACACACACACACACCCACCATACACCTCTAACCACACACAGGTTTTGATGCACAAACATTAATAACAAGTAACCATATATTCACACACCTTCTGTACATACACACAATGCAGGATATCCACACTCACATTAACAGAAACTTAAATATATGCAAAGGTAACTAGAAGCTTAAACACACACATACAAACACATACCGAAGTTGCCTCTTCCAGTGGCAGGCGTATTTGCAGCGCTGTAACAAATCACAAGGTTTGATCAGTTTCTAACTCTGGAATTAGGCTTTTTGTGTGTGTGTAAGCGAATTCAACCACACACATAAAACAAACTATATATATTTTCACATCGGCCGACGGTGAAAGTCGTGTAGTCTGCACGAGCCTTACCAGTAAATGATTGAAATTGGACGTAGTATCAATTCAGTACTGGAAAATTTGCGCTCTTGTTAGTTTCACAACAAAATAACATTTATAAAGGTAAGCTAAAAACTTCTCACAGAAATTTATATTTCTCTTAATGTTGCAGCAAGACATTAATTTGGTTGGTAGGGGTAAACTCCTGCAATGATTGACTGGAAATCAAGCTCTATGTTGTTTTAAAGAACTCACATCTACACATGTATGTACTACACATATTGAGTGTTCGCAGACAAGGTGATATCGTGAATAAACACAACTCAGCATTACTACAGCTGTATGAACCCAAAATAAATTTTTTGCTGTGATTAAATAGCAATAAATGGATCAAACTAATGCCGAAATAACTACAATATGATGCAGATGTATTAAACATATGAATTCATGCTTTGTCAGCTCTGTCAGCAAGACTGTACGACAACAACTTCCAAAATGTTTGTTTTCTGAATGGAGTTTGGATCGATCAGGGCTATGCTATGCTAACTTGGTCACAGTGTAGTACAACGATAGCTGGAATAAAGTTACATACACATGTTTTCTGAACTCACCAGGTAGTTCAATCTTCCTGCTTTCTTTTCTCTTAGCAATGTTCAGTTTTGTCCGTTTTTTATATAAATATGAAGTAGTGCCAAACGACGCTAACAACAACACTGGAACCGGATGTGCACGGAGAAGCTCGAGAGAAAATAAATCAACGTTGTAATCCCAAAAACTAAAGTAAAAAGCTAATTTAATAAAAGCAGTTTACTCCGAGCTCCTCCCACGAGCAAACGCCGTAGTTGTCAGAGCATAATCCAATCCGACTACAGGTGTTTTTGTCCAAAAGCTGGAGCGCTGCTCACTGCTCCTCTCTCCCAAGTTTAGCAGCTCTTCGCCGGTCAGCAGATTTTCAATCGCCCGCTCTGCCTGGCCCTCACAACGCTCTGAAGCCGTCGGTGACGTACGGACAATCTCAACGTTGATAGGTGTAGTAACTCACAGGAGACTTCCGTATGCACATGGAGTAGCTTTATTTTTCTCCTGGCGGTAGGACTGTGCAGCTATACAACCATTACAGCCATTCGGCGTTACAACGAACAGCAGTGTTTCTTCTTCACAGTCCTAAACTGCCCTGGCAACAACGTTTATGTCACAGCACCACCTAGTGGTGTAGCTGACTAAAGTTCAGTCCTGTCCTACAACATTCCTCCCCACATAAGCAAACGCCATGCATCCCACAGGGGAAACAGGAACAAGATAACCCCACTTTCCTTATACATTCGGTTCAACTTACACCTGCTTATTTACTTTGTTGGTTTTGTTTTTTACACATTTTTTTTTCTCTTTTTTTTTTTTCAAGTGCCCCCATTATTAAGTCCCTACTTAGTTAACTGAAAATTCTTAAGGTAACTAGGCAACTTGGTTTCCCTTTTTGACTGTCTCCTCACTGGACTTTCCAGTGCCACGGTCCCTTTGTCTGTCTCTGATTGTCCTGCAGCTTCTGTAGCTGCTGGCTTCTCCGACTTCTCACTGACAAGCACCGTCTCTCCCACATCCATCCATGTCTCTTCCAGGATGGCAGCTGAGCTTTGCTTAGTTGACTCAGCTTGTTGTCCCGCACTGCTTAGCTCTAGTCTCTGATGCTGGGTATGAATCTGGTCCACATGTCTCCGGACGACTCTCCCATTACCTAACAGCACTTTGTAGGATACGGGACCTGTCACTGACTCTATGATTCCTGGAATCCACTTGGGTCCAAGTCTGAAGTTTTGGGTCAGTACTGAGTCACCTGGTTTGAACCAGCGTCCCCTTGCCTTCCTGTCATGATCTCTTATTTGTCTTTCTTGTTTTCCTTGTACCTTGAGGCTGAGGTCTGGGTGACAGGCCTGTTGTAGTGTGAGGAGTTACTCTGTAACTAAACAACACTCTGGCTACCTTGGCTGTTAGTGTGCCTTTTGGGCACTTTTTCATCATTCTTTTAAATGTCTGGACCCCTCTCTCTGCTAACCCATTACTGGAGGCATGGTAAGGTGCAGAGGTCACATGACGAATACCATTTTTACTCAGAAAGTCTTTAAACTCTGTGCTGACAAAACATGTGCCATTATCAGACACCAACAACTCAGGCAGTCCATGGTTACTGAAACTGGTACGTAAACACTCGATGGTGGTGGCTGAAGTAGCAGAGTTTACTGGATACACATCCATCCATTTTGAATGAGCATCAATCAGCACAAAGAACATCTTCCCCATAAATGGTCCAGCATAATCTACATGAAGACGACTCCATGGCTTGTCAGGCCAGTTCCAGCGGTGTAATGGAGCAGGTGCAGGAGCATTTTTGTGCTCTTGACAGGTTTCACAACACTTGACAGTATCCTCCACTTCTTTGTCCAGCTTTGGCCACCATACGTAACTCCTGGCCAACGCTTTCATTCTGGATACTCCTGGGTGACCTTGGTGGAGCTGCTTAAGCACATTTTCTTGGCCTGGCTTTGGCATAATGACTCTCGCCCCCCAAAGCACACACCCATTTTGAATACTAAGTTCATGCTTCCTCACTTCATAGGGGGCAAATTCTGTCCCCTTCAGTTCTGATGTCCAGCCTCTGTGCACTATTTCCCGCACTCGTGAGAGTACTGGATCCTTGTCTGTCCATGTCTTCACTTGCTCAGCAGTTACCAGTGTAATGTCGGCGCTCTCCAGCATGAGAACCCTCTCTTCTGTCCTCTCCAGGACAGGTTTCTCTGGTAACGGCAAGCGGCTCAAGGCATCAGCATTGTTGTGGTACTTCCCTTCTTTGTACACGATTGTATATTCATAAGCTCTCAAGGTTACAGCCCATCGTTGGATCCTGGGTGATGCCATTTGTGGTACTGCTTTCATCTCACTAAAAAGTGACAACAATGGTTTGTGATCTGTCACTATAGTGAACTTCCGTCCATAAATGTACTTGTGGAAGCGTTTTATTCCAAACAACACTGCCAGCCCTTCCTTATCCAGTTGAGAGTAGTTCCTCTCTGCAGCATTGAGGGTCCGTGATGTAAATCCAATGGGTCTTTCAGTTCCATCCGACATGCGATGTGACAGCACGGCTCCTATTCCATAGGGTGAAACATCACATGACAACACAATGTCCTTCTCTGGGTCATAATGCACCAGTACTTCAGCTGACTGCATCATTTCTTTTGACTTTTCAAATGATGCCTGCTGGGCCTCTCCCCACTGCCACTTTGTCTCTTTCTTCAGTAGTTTGTGCAGTGGAGCCAGTACCGTTGACAGATTTTTCAGGAACTTGTTGTAATAGTTCAAAAGCCCTAAGTATGCCTTTAACTCTGTCTCATTTGAAGGTGTGGGTGCCTCTTGTATTGCTTGTACCTTCTCATTGACTGGGTGCAGTCCTGTTGCATCCACTTTGTGTCCCAGGAACATCACTTCCTCAACCATGAACGAGCAGTTGGTCCTCTTGAGCCTGAGACCGGCATCCTGTAGCCGCTTTAGCTCTGTGGAAAGAGTCTGCAGGTGCTCTTGGTCATCTTTTCCTGTCAGCAAGATGTCATCCAAGAAAATGGCCACCCCAGGAATGCCCTGCAGCAGTCCCTCCATGGTTCGCTGAAAAATAGCTGGGCTAGATGACACTCCAAAAGGTAACACTTTGTATGTAAACAAGCCCTTGTGTGTGTTAATGTTCACATACCTTTTTGCTTCCTCATCCAATGGGATTTGGTGGTATGCGTGACTCAGATCTAGTTTAGTGAATTTCTGTCCACCTGACAGCCTGGCAAACAGGTCCACAATTCTGGGAATTGGATACTGCTCTAGTTTTGATACCTGATTTACTGTCAGTTTGTAGTCTCCACACAGCCTTGCTGTGCCATCTGGTTTGAGCACCGGAACCACAGGTGCTGCCCACTCAGCATATTTCACTGGTTTGATTAAGTCCTGGGCTATGAGACGGTCCAGTTCAGCCTCCACCCTTCCTCTCATGGCATATGGAACAGGTCTGGCCTTAAAAAACTTGGGGCGGGCATCCTTGTCCACATATATTTTTGCTGGCGGCCCTTTGAATTTCCCCAGCTCTTCCTTAAAGACCTCCACATACTCCCCAAGTACCTCCTCCAAGGTCTCTTCCCTTAATTGGTTGATTTGGGGTTCTGGTTTGCACTCTAAGCCTAACCTCCTAATCCAGTTCCTGCCAACCAGACTAGGGCCTGTTCCTTCCACTACTACCACAGGTAGCATTTTTTGTGTTGCACTTTGACCATCGCTGCTCCCAAGACTTTACTCTGTCCTGTATATGTTCGGAGTCTCACTCTGCAGGGTTGTAGGGCTGGTTCCTCTTCCTGCCTTAATTGTTTGAACACAGAGTGGTTCATTACTGTTACACCACAACCCGAGTCTCTTTCAAACTGCATTTCAGTCTCATCAACTGTCAGTGTCTCTATGAAAGGCTCTTCGGCCTGTATATCTATCTCCTCCACCTTGTACAGTGTGAACATGACTTCATCCGTGTCGGTGTCATCTTGTCCCTCCTCCCCATGGCTGACATAATTCGCTCCCTGAGTTTTCACATGCTTACTTGATTGTTGTCCTCCGTTGCCTTTAATATTTGAGACACTCGCTGAGCCCTTGGATCTGCACACTCTCTGTATATGGCCAGTCTTACCACACTTGTGACAGGTTTCTTTAACGTACCGACAGTCCACCGACCTGTGCTGTTCACTTCCACACCGGTAGCAAGCCTTTTGCTGTTGCTGCTGCTTACTGGGGCCTTGCCTTGCAGTCATCTTGTGCACAGCTTGAGGTGCCCTCGCATGTGAGGATGCCGGCTCTGGTGACTGTAAGTCTTTCGCATCCTTGCTGGCTGTCTCAATAGCCTGGGCCAGCTTCAATGCCTTGTCAAAAGTCAAATCCGGTTCTGACAACAACCTTCGCTGGATACGGTCATCTCCAATCCCACAAACCAATCTGTCGCAGAGCGTTTCTGACAACTTGTCTCCGTAGTTGCAATCCTGTGCTAACTTCCTCAGCACCGCGACATATTCCATGACTGTTTCTCCCAGCTTTCTGTTCCTCGAATTGAACTTGAAGCGCTGCACAATTTCACTGGGTTTGGGATTAAAATGGTTCTTCAATAACTGAACAAGCTCATCAAATGTCTTGTCACCTGGCTTTGCGGGGCTAACAAGGTTCCTCATAAGACTGTAAGTCTGACTGCCCACTGCACTGAGCAAAATTGCTTTCTGCCGACCGGCTTCCGTGATTTCATTAGCTTCAAAAAAATGGTGAAGGACCTCACAATATTCCTTCCAACTTTGGGTTTGGCTGTCAAAAGGAGCTGTGCTTCCTACCATTGCCACTGCCATGTTCTTCCCGTAAGCTAGCTGCACAACTGTCCGGTTCGTGGCTGTGAGCGCAGTAGCTCAACGGGTGATCCTACTGCTCATGCTTCGTTCCTCGAGGCCGCCACTGCAACTTTATCCTCGTCGCCATTTATGTAGTAACTCACAGGAGACATCCGTATGCACATGGAGTAGCTTTATTTTTCTCCTGGCGGTAGGACTGTGCAGCTATACAACCATTACAGCCATTCGGCGTTACAACGAACAACAGTGTTTCTTCTTCACAGTCCTAAACTGCCCTGGCAACAACGTTTATGTCACAGCACCTAGTGACCGACTAAAGTTCAGTCCTGTCCTACAACAATAGGGTATCGCGACTCAACGGCATGCGAATTTCTCGCTTGAGTTGAAAATATTCAACTCACTTCCTTCGCGTTGCCGAAGGACGTGAGCAGCTGGCACCGCAGCTTCGCGTCGCTGACACAAAATCGCGGCTCTACGCGTCTTTGCATTGTCTTTGTATGTAAACTCACTGCCCTGAACGCTTGCTTTGCTTTTGATCTGAAAGCACCATTACGCACACAGCATTCAAACTGCACGCACACACTCACCTGTCCACACACACACATTTCTCTCGGTCTCTCATAAACACACATACTCATACACATAAGAACTACATAAGAACTACAGACCACTTTCCTGTAATAACTTGTGCTACATCAAATCCTATTTCCATTAGGTGTGTGCTTCAGAAAGATGTGTGTGTGTGTGTGTTTGTACTGAACTGTCTCTCTGCGTGTGTGTAATGTGTGTGTGCAGTGCCTTTAATCGCGTGTGTCTAGGTGTGTGTGTGAAGACTGAGATAGTGCCCATATGTGCATGCATGCTTTACGTTGAGCTGGCAGTGGAAAGTTTGAGTGTGTGTGCGTACTTCTGTGCTGTGGGGTGCTGAATCAGCAAAGCCCTGATAGACCTGCTCAGCCCTGGCCAGTACCTCAATTGGGTAATCACAGTACTTAACACACACACACACACACACACACACACACAAAGGCACACCCCAATGCACACTTATACAGAAAATCAAGAAGAAACTGCAACTCAGTTTCACAAAAACACATGCAAGTTCACATATTCAATCGAATGTACTTGCTCACATACTTTATACAAGCATGGATATATGCACAATTACACTTGATTAGGGGCCCTGCAGAACTTGTTAATGTATGGCTCTGGTCCCAGGTCAAGTTTCAGATCTAGTCCCTATAGGTACTCTGCTAATAAAAGTCAAGAATTTTGCATCTAACATTTGCAATTTAAATTCCCTACAGCATTCTGGAAGTAATTTTTTATAGTGTGGCTAAAGCAATGACAGGTCTAGGGCACTCAGACATGAAATGCTTACATTATCGAGGAAAGGATATGCTGTTGTAGACCTGCAGTTATTTGAAATGCTCATCATACCACTGCTTTGCAAACCAAAGAGTTCTAACTGTTTGAGTGTCGGAGATGACAGAAGTGACTTCAAAGTTTCATCATTAGTTGCATTGAAAGGTTTAATTTGATAAGTTTACTATGAAATGTAAAATCTTAGAGGAAGTCCATTTAGTGGGGTCTATGAGAATGTATGTTTCTCTTTTGATTATGCAAAATGCTTAAGAACTATTTTCATCATTGAAATGCTGAATAGTGGATCAGAGTTTTAGTGAGTATTTATACTCATATGTAAAATTAGAAAAATTTCCCCCACAATGTTGATGCTCATTCAGCTTTAGTACAGTAGTATTGTCTCATAAAACAAAAGACAAACATCTTCCATGTGTGGCGAGAGCAATAAGGTGATAATGGGGAAAGGACCAACAATGCCACCTGGGGAAACCCCAGGTAATACTTTCACTTCTAACCTTAAATATTATTTTGATAATTAATGAAGGCACACAGGCTTGTTACTGAGAATAAACCAAACATTTTATTGAAATAATCAAAATAAGCAGGGACTGGAGCTGCCGTATCATTTCACACTGTTTAGATTGCATTGACTTCTATTGTGCAGAAACGTGAAATGACACGCAAAAACCTTAAAATGCGTTGACATGGAATGCCGAAATGTCCTTATAAGTGGCGTGCTATTTATACGCCATTTCATGATTTTTTTTGTGCAAAATGGAGCAAAAAAAATGCACTTTGAAAATGGCTTTGCCTGCACTATGCATTGCACACACAATGTTATGGATTCAAAATCACAAATTTGCTTCAATGGCTTTACAATCTGTACATCATACAGCACTCTCTATCCTTAAACCATTGATTCAGACAAGAAAAGACTCACCAAAAAAACTTTTAAAAGGGGGAGTATAAAGTAAGAAACCTCAGACAGAGGTGAAAAGAGGAAAGGTGGGATCCCTCTTCTAGGATGGAGAGACACGCAGTAGATGTGCCTCATGATTGCGATTCAAGATGAGATTTCTGTGGGAAAGAATCTCATACTATACTATTCCTCTCACCCCACAGTGCTGCACATTCTTCCATTTAGCTCTCCACAGGAGCAACGTTGGTGAGGTCCAGTCATCCAATTATCCAATCAGTGCGCTCACTGTTGGGAATATCACCCACTATGCACCTCCTCACCTCACTCACTCACCTTCACAGTCAATTTACCACACATGCCTTCCATATCCTATCCGCCTTCCCACTACCCTCCCAAGTCACATCAGAATAACCTCTTCATTCTCCTCTGTAGTATCAAGTTCAATGTTCAGAGCTTGAATTCCCATTTCACTTCACCCTCCCACATGTTCCTCTCAATCCCAGACGGTAGGAATCCAGTGGTTATGTTGTTTATTGCATGACGTCCCTGCTCTCCCTCCCTATATACATCTATGCAAGAAGTATACAAATAGTCTGAAGGAGAGTGGTAGTAGTATAACAGTTTTTGTTACTACACTGATAATTGTCATAAATGGCTACCTTTTCTGCAGCAAATTCATTCTTGATTAAACAGTAGAAACCTGTTATTAAACCATAACACAGAACTCACTGGGACTGCAGCAGTGGCCTAAGGGCATAATTTCCCTTTTTAATTTCAGGGAAGACATCTACTGGGAATTACACTACAGATGAGTATATTTTACTGATGAACACGATCAAGCAGAGAGAAGAACAAGAGCAGTCTGAAGGAGAAATCTGCAGAAAACTCATCGTAATGTTGGTTCTCCTTATGTGCCATTATTTATTGGAGAGATTTTTCTTTTAATGATTCTTATTTCCCTTTCAATATGCATCTTTAGCCTAGACGCCTAGCTTGTCAGTGCTGCCTGTTGTCGTTCTGCATTAAACTCGTTTTCTCTGTTAGTGTAATTTGCACATGTCACTATAAAAATCAATCACCGTGGCCCTGGCAGGAGCTATATGTTGATGTGAGCTGATTGGCCACGTTTGCACAAGCACGAACATTTCCGGACCCAGTTATAATTAACCACATGGTTGTTAACCACTGTGCCCAAATCCTCATCGACAGTCCTGTTATTGCTTATTAAAGGAGTACAACCACCTTACATCTGACAACCACTCAGTCCAGCAAATATGTTTTTAACACATCAAATGGGAAGCCCGGTGCTGTCAATAATCAGTAAGACTCAATGTGGGGATGTATATTGAGTTGGCTCTTTCATGTTTGATTAGACACATGGGTCATGCCTGGGTCTCAAAATAATTATTTAATGTGGTAAATTGGTAGTGGTCTGTTGTTTACAACTAAAATGTTGGCGTAATTGCAAACAAGAAGTTCAGTGGTTAGCAGTGAGTCAGAAAAATAAGACATTAGCAGAGAGGCAGAATACTTTTGTTGATAAGATCAGAGACTGAGTTGAGACATAAAACACAAGTGCAACTGTTATTATTTATTTAAAAACATCAGCATGAAATGGATTCAGGAGTTTACATTGGTTCAAATCAGAGATGACAAAAGTTCAAATCAGCTGACCCAACATCATTACTTTAAAATCTAGAAGCACTGCAAATCCTGTGTGTGCATACCAGTTGATTTGTTAAGAAGCACTGAAATAGCCAACATACTGTAGGAAATAATTACTCACAATAAAAAAAAATAGATCTGCTGTACTTGGCAGGCAAGGCGGTCGGAAACTATTATTCCTGTGCCACCTCTAATGGAGAGTTTCTTGCTGTGCTGGGTGACCACTGTGTCCTGTCTTGTATCATTTGAGTCCCTGCCTGGCCTCGTCTGTCTCTTGTATTCTTTAATAACTTGTCAAACAACCATTAAAAAGTTTCAACAACGGTATGTCACAGCTTTCAACTATGTTGCTGTCATGCTGTCATGGTGTGGAAAAGAAAGTTTGATTGTGATAAATGTACCCAAAAATGTGGAATGACAAGACTATAGACACATCATGATGTCCTGTATGCATCATGATACAGGATAAAAAAAGGGAAAGGACTCAAAAGAAAAAACAGGACCGAAAAAAGGCACATAAAATAGCTGATGGGGTTATGTCTTAATAGTACCAGGTCCTCATTACAGGATGAGAAACTAACCAGGACACAGGAAGGAAACATAACCTGTTTAAATATAAAAGCGAGTGACTTCTGGGATGACCAGCCCCTGCCTGGTGCAAAAGTGGCCACAAACAAAATCTCACTTGATTTTACATACAAAATCCTATTGTAAAACAACAAAGACAAATCCT